TCCACAGTGGCTGTGCCCATGGCTCCTCCCTCCTTCCTGCAAGCCCCCAGGCCTGCGACATATGTGTTTCCCTGGCTATCTGGCAGACCAGGCCGCAGGCCGGAGACACGGTGCTGGAGGCAGGGACTCTGCAGAACAGAATGGAGTCAGCACAGAGCACATTTTAAAAAATCAATCATTGGGGAAAAAATAAAAATAAAATAAAATGAAAAAATCAATCTTCGGGAGGACAATCCATCACCGGGGCAGCCGCCCAGCAGAGCAAGGGGGTGGGCGCCAAGGCCACCCTGGGCCAACTGTATCCAGTGCCCAAGGGCACAGCAGGGCTGGCACACCCTCGCCACCATGAGGAAGGGGCCGTGTGCTTGGTGCTTGTCTGTTTGCTGTTGGAGCTCCTCACACGTGGGTGTGGAGCGGATCTCCCCAGTGCGGCTGGAGTCTGCCCAGGACCAGCCCTCCCAGCCCCTCCCAGGGCAGGGAAATAGGCTGGGGGGCCATCTGTGGAGAACCCAGGTGACCCAGGAGCAAAGAAAGGGACCACATAGGAGACCCCTGCTGCCCCCAATAGGGGATGTCCCACTGATGGGCAGAGACAGAGGCAGGTCCCCAAGACGTATCCCTGGGAGGAGAGAGGCAGGGGCAGCAGGGCCCCCAGCCCAGCTAACCATAGACACCAAGTCACTGAGGCAGCTGAGCTCGCGGCACCGCGGCTCTCCGGGATTCCCCTCCTGCCGGCTCCGCAGGCACCGTTGGGTGTGTGCAGGGATTCCTCAAGTACTGGAACAGGTTCCATCCTGTCCTCCTGAGCCGCCAGGGACCTGGGCACCTGGGGGGCAGAGGGAAGCAGTGTTCCTGCTGGGGCTGCAGATGCTCGCGGCCGGTGACTCAGGGCGGCCGTGACGAACCCCAGGCCCTGAGCCAGCACCACTTCCGACCCCAACCCGGCCTCATCGTGAAAAGTCTGGCCGCCTGGTTGGGAGAGACACCAACACAGCCCCTCCAACAGACTGTCTCTTACTCAAAACGCAACCCTCTTCCCTCCTGTGTCAGCCCGGGCAGAATCAGCTGGCAGAGACCAGCCTGAGCGAGGCCCCTCATTCAGGGCCAGCAGTTTCTGCGAAGGGCCAGACAGCAAAGCTATTCAACCTCCTGCCTGTGGGCTCCATCACAGCTACTGCACTCTGCCCTGTAGCATGAAAGCAGAAAGGCAATAGTCAACAAGTGGACGTGGCTGGGTTCTAATAAAACTTTATTTATAAAACAATCGGTGGGCCAGGTTTTGAGTGTAGTTTGCTGGCCCTGCCAGGGCAGATCTGAGCATCCCTGAGAATTGGCCATCCTCGCTAAACTCCCGCAGACCTGCCGTAGCCATCCAGGTTCCTGGCTGTCCACCGCCGCAGAGAGGAGGAAAGTTTCTGGGGGGGAAGAAGCAGATATTTGCTTGAAAGGAGCACCCGCACCCCACCCGGCAAGTCACTCCACCTCTGGCCAGTGTATTTAAACCGGAACAGATACCTCCCCAGTGAGCACATGTTTGCAGCCAGCGGGTATGTGAGTCTAGAGAACAGTCTGGAAGCCTGGGGAGGGGCCAAGAGCAGAGGTGTTTTTATTCTTACTCACATCACCTGGGGCTAAAGAATGGGCGACAGTGGGAAACACCTCAAGGTTCAAGTCTCAGAGCCGCTGCCACTTACTAACCGAAGGACCTTGAGCAAGTTCCATAACCTCTCGAGCTTCAGTTTCCTTGTTTTACGAAATGGAGATAAAAATAGTACTTAGTTCCTGGAGCCCGAAGGTTTCGACCAGATAACCTATGGAAAGCATTTAACGCAAGACCTGATAGATGTGGGCAAGACCAGGCCTGTGATGGGGCTGTTGGCTTACTCACCCGGCACCTTCCCTGTGTCAGACCCATGCTAGGAACTGCTGAGTTAAACCGTAGGATACTCATAGGAACCCTAGGAGGTGCCCCATGTTACGGGGGGGAAACCGAGGCTCAGAGAAGCCACCACATGCCCCAGGACACACCGATTTGCTTTTGTCAAAAGGGGCGAGAAGAGTAAATTGACAAGAGGCACAAGAAGGGCAGAATGGGAGTGGGCGAGGAGGCTTGGGAAACTCCACAGACAGATGACAGGGCAGGGAGGCAGCCCGTTGGAATGACTGTTTGCCCTTTCTGGAGAGGAAGAGTTCAGCTACCTGACCCACCATGAGCTCAGCCAGGGGCCCGTCTCTTGTACACCTGCCAGTCTCTACCGGAAAACTGACTGTTAGGGGCACAAAGATTCTTTGGAGATTGGTCTCTTGTACACCTGCCAGTCTCTACTGGGAAAACGGACTGTTAGGGGCACAAAGATTCTTTGGAGATTGTGGGTGGACACCCCAGGCCCCCACTGAGAGGTTGAGTCCATCCCTCCACATCCTAGTATCTGGCTGCTTTGTGACTCTTTGGCCAACGGAATATGGCCAAAGTGAGGCCAACCCTTACCTGCACCCAGCCCTTGAGGGACTGGCTATTTCTACTGACCGTTGGAGTCAAAAGCTGCCCCTTAAGAACCTGGGGCCATACTGCTGGAGAGAGAGAGGCCACGTGGAAGAGCCCTGAGCTGCCCGCTGGGACACCCAACCCAGTCGGGCCTTCAGATGACCACAGACCCAGCTGCTCCCCGATTGCAAATGTATAGAGACCCCGCCCCGTTCGCTGAGGAAGAACTGGTCAGCTGAGCCCTGTCAACCTACACAACCACGACAGATAAAAATGAATCACCAGGTTAAGCACTGAATTCGGGGTCCTTTGTTTACACAGCCCTCCGTGACACGAATCCTCTGGAAGATTCATCTCTTCCCCAGTCTTATTCACTGGCTACTCTGGGGCAACAAGGACCCGCAAGCTCCAAAGTGCACAGTCCCTCATTGATGACTCGACCGCCTGGTCTCCTGGGTAACCATCCTTGGTTGCAGAGCAGAGTTGCCGGACCTGCTGCTCCTTCTGGGGTTGGTAGGAAACCCTTAAATGAAAATCAACATCTGCCAAGCAGCCAGATGCTCCTGGCCCTCTGAGCAACTCAGAGAGACAGGCGAGGCCTTTTATTTGACCAGCATTAAGCAGCTTAGCAAGCACTCCAACATATTGAGCCTCCTGTCACCCGTGACAACCATAAAAGGCAGCGGGGCAGGCCTGGTTCCTCCTGTTACAGAACAGGAAGCTGACCGAGACCACACCAACAGGCGTGGCCGAGCCAGGGCTGGAAGCCAGGGCACCTGGCGACCCGTCTACAGGCCTCCTTCACGCTCACACCATCCCTATTGTCCCCAGATCATCCTAGACAGCAGCCTGGGCCCTGATCGGGCCCATTTTCCCAGGTTGAAGGGACAGATCGTTGGAGACAAGAAAGCATCCATAGGTGCCAAGTACGTGCTGTCGTTACGGGCCCTGAAGTCACCTTCCTGGGCTCAGGTGTGGCTCTGCCCCAAGCTCGAGTAACTTGGCTGTTACTTGCCTTGCTGAGCCTCAGTGGCCGCATCTGTAAAGGGAGATGGGCTGCTGCTGAGAGCTGTCATGCCTCTGGGGGGAAGGGAGGGCCTTGGAGGCTGTCCTGAATGGCAGAGCACCGTGGAGGTGACCCTCAGTGATTCTGCATGCCTCGCTCTGCAGGAAGTGGTCTGACCTCCCCCAGGCTGCCATGCTGTGAGGAAGCCCAACTAGCCCCGTGGGGAGGCCACACTGAGAGGTCCTGAGACCACAGGAAGAGAGGACGATGTTTGCCTAGTCCCAGCTGCCTCAGCCCCGGACTGTCCCAGCACCATCCACGGTCTGATTGCCGCGGTATGACAGATTGGAAGCCAGAACCAGCCAGCCAAGCCCTCCCCAAATTCCTCACTCAAAGAAACCGGCGATTGCTGTTTGAGGTCACTGAGTTTTGGGCTCATTTATTGTACAGCAATAGGTCACTGGAACAGAGTTGGCTGTGAGGTTTGGTGGGTTAAATGGTGTTTCTCTTCCCCTCCCCCTAAGAAAAGGTTCGCTCACCTGGAATCCCAGAATGCGACCTCATTTTACAGGGTTTCTGCAGATGTCATTAAGGTAAGGGTTTTGAGAGGATTAAGGTGGGCCCTACATCCAATGACAAGTGTCCTTATAAGAGACAGAGAAGAAGACACAGGTACAGAGAAAAGTGCCAAGCCCAGTGGAAGGCAGAGATGGAGTGATAGGAGGCCACAAGCCCAGGAATGC